GTCATCCGTTAATTCGCCATCTCTTATATTACCACCAATTATACTGCCATTCGTTATATCGCCACTTGTTATATTGCATCCTTTATATTAGCATTTGTTATAGTACGATCGATATATTGTCATCTGTTAATTCGTCATTTCTTATATTACCACCCAATTATATTACCACTCGTTATAAAGTCACGCTTGAGATTTTCATGCATTATTACACGTTATATTGCCTCGTATTAAATTGCCACACGTCAAATTTACATGTTAAATCGAAATATATTTTATTGTTACGTGTTAGTTTTTCGTGCGTTAGTTTGCATATATTATATCGTTACATGTTATACTACCATATTTACACTGAATTTAAATTATAAACTGTAAGTCGAAATTTCACTTTTTGAGTGGTATTTTTAGACGTGCGAGAAATGTGAAAATGTAACATGTGAAAGTATAACATATTACTTGTAAACGTAAACTTGCATTTAATAACTTTATCCTTTAACAAAGTACCTTTATAACTATACAAATAGTGATTGATTTTCGAAAAGCTCTCCAAAACCAAGCGTATTATCAAAATTGTTTGTGTTTCCCATAAACAGAACAGTTTTCCTTTATAAAGCTTCCAGGAGGACACGAATAAACGGCGAAAACGGGCGTAAATAAATCGTTCGATTCAATTGCCCGCCATTTGTTTTCAGACACGATGAAAATAAATTCCCCAGTTGTACCATATCAACCAAACGAAATCCGTACGATTTTTCACGCGGTAACCTTATAAAAATTTCTAATAATATATAAAAATATATGAATAAAAAATATGAAAGGTGTTACAGATCGATTTTGAAAGATCTCGCGCAGCAGTCTGTGTGGGTTAACTGAATCTCTATCTTAGCGACTAGGTTAACGAGGTCGTAACCTACATTCCGCATCTGATGCTCCACTAAATTAAAGCAATTATTGTAATATCGCATTGAACTACATTTTAGAATCTTGAATGGTCACGGAATCGTGAAAATCTGATGTAAATCATTTTTTTAAACGCGGTGACAATTAAAACTATTTTCCAATTTGCGAACTAACGCGATTGCTGACACTATTCAATCGAAAAATGTAATGTAGAAAATACTTCTTTTCGGATCATAATATAACTTTAGATTAGTGCAGTATACTGCTCGGTATATTATAGAATATATTATACTGTCTTATGATTGCGAAGTTTGCATATTAAGGCGTTTTACGAAAAAATAGCAAAACTTTATAATGCATTTTTCTAAATTCCCAAATTTTCAAATAGCCAAATTTTGTAATTCTTAAATATTTATTTGGGATTAAAAAGGTTCTAAACTTTCAAACTTCTAAATAGTAAATTGAGATTTCGTTTAAATTTAGACAGAAAAACCAAGTTCCTAAATTACGAATTGGAGTTCAACGAGCTGGAGTTAGATAAAAGTCTAACGTTGGAAACAGATTATTTTCGCCATAATTTTCTCGTCAATCGACGCGTCGATGTCGTAAAATCTTTAATGGTTCGTTAACAGAAATTGCACGTAGCACTGGTTGCCATTTGCGCGAATTAATTGCGCGAATTTCCCCGGCTAACATCAAAATACAATTTAGGTCGTGACCTCGGTGACCTATATGGTATGTAACGAAAACCGCTCGAACCCTCTTAACCAAACTCGTGTCTATTCTTACCCTTGAAAGGGATCGCTCGGATAAGGAGGACCCATACAATGTATCCTGTACCATGCATATTTTCCAAATCTCCCTATTATCCTGCTCTTCACCGATACAATATTTTGTGCCAACGATCTGCCGTCAGACACTGACACCCAATACGCTTATCCACATTATTTTTCAAAGAAAATAAGTAATACCATTTACAGAGCAAAATAAATCTTGAGAGTACTCCTAAATTATTCCAAACATTTACTGATAAAAATCAATTGAACGGAGAAATTAGCAAAATTGTTTTAAAAAGAAGATAAAGAAGAATAAACAAAACGTAATAAAATTTATAAAATAATATTGAAAAGAATATAAACAGAAGACATGATTTACTGCAAACTGCATGAAAATTGACAACAATTCGATAAAAATGCGAAAAAGAATTTAGGGAATTGAAATTTAAAAAACTGAATGATTTGAAAATTTATATCTCAATTTCTACCATGAAATTATGTTACCGCAAGTGTTTTGAAAAACGGTGATTGAATAACTTCGTTGGGGAGAAATTATTAACTGTGTTTGGAGAAGCCAGCGAGTAATTTTTCATTGTAATTCTTTTTCCCCGAAGGTGTACTGCGAATATTACCCTTTTATTACAGGGGTAACAAGATTGATTACGGAAAGTTGAAACCATATAAAATGGCGCGTACGATTCCTTATCCATATTAACAGCGTACCTAATGTATCGATTATGTGTTCAATATAAAATTGAAATATCAGGATATAGTTACAACTAAAATAACATACTTTTTTAAGGTATATGCGTTTAAAAAATTAGGTTTTCGTCCTCCGTTTGAAACGATTTCTCGCGTAAAATATCAAAAACAAGAAGTTTCTCGGTTGTTATTTGAAAAACATTAAATTTCTCTCATATTCTCTCTGGCAAGTGTTTTTCTCAACGGTTTCGCTATTTTCCTTAGCATCAAGCTTTGAAAATTTAAACTACGAGAATTCTTTGCCGACAGAAAATACAGAAACGAGATTTCATCTGAACCTGCTGGCCTGAAGCACGGAAAACGTTTTGATAAACGATGAAATCCAAGGCGTGTATATCTCATTTTGTCTGTCAATGTAAACGCTAGTGAAAAAATTCGTACAAATTTAAAGTGCATCATCTTACCGCGCAAGTCAATGGGGTCACAACCTGAATTTAGCCTTCGAAGGTGTATTTTTCTCTTGCAATATTAAATAACGTTTCTCAGAGGGGTTGATTCCGATGCTCCACACGGATCACGACTAATTTCACTCGACATTTCCTGATTCCGGGAACACGACTGTTCCTTGAAAAAGATAATGAAATAACCTGAGCTGCGTGGTAAAATATGTATCAGAAAGAAATGAAGAATTAGCGGAGAAAATAAAAGCTGCCTGTTTGCGTCTACAAATCCAATGAAATATTTATGATTTCACGCGAAATTATTGGAAAATTATTTTAGTATTCAATTTATTGTATTTTCGATAAAAATTCTTTCGTCTTCGATGCTAAATTAGTAAATGTTCTATTTATGTTATAGAAACTAAATATGTACTGATGTTTCATACTCACATAACAATAATTTAAAGATTTATTAATCTGAAATACAAAGTCTCTGGTTATAGACATCCTTGATCCCGATATTCTTAGATCACGATGTTTCTAGATTTTAATATCCCTAGAATGTCCCTAGTCCCCAACATTCCTAAATTCTGATATTTCAATGTATTAGCAAATGCATCCCTATATTTCTAGTTTTATTTACAAAAGTTAATTAGTGAATTTTGCTTCATTAGAATGTTTAACTGAATTATTTTTTTATTCAATAAAACGTGTAAAATTGATAGCTTTTTGTAATAGACAAAAGAAATGAATTTGCAGGAGCATTGGCTTAATGTTACTAATTATTAATGATTAATATTATATTTTATTAAATGAGGTATGAACTGATTTATGATTAATCACATATAAAACTTGACTTTTATGTTCTACGATTTTATATCATTTTACGGTTTAAAAACAGAACCACTAGCGCCAGCTGGCGTAGCACAGTGTACTTAAGGTGAGAGAAAATTGCCATTTTTCGTAAAATAAGAGATTATTGCATGATAATAGAAAGTAGAATATTCTACGAATTGAACGTTGCTTATGTAATGAAGCCATAATTCAATTAGCGTTAATAATAATAATTTAAAACATTGCTTTTTGTTATATACGCAATTGGGGAAGTAATCCCACGACGCGGTCACGAAGGCTGCCGGGACGCCCGAACGGTGCCGAGCGAAAACCGCGCGAGAATTCGACTGTCTTTTGTTTTCTACCGTTTCTTCCCTCTCAGCCATGTATTGGCGTCATTCTCGTTTTATCGTACGCGTTGTTAAAGTCATTATTAATAAAAGCTATTCGTTAAAAAAGTATTCCTTGTTCCCTCTCTGCCCAAACACAATACTTTTAATGTCTCTTGAAATGCTATAGCCATCTAACGGCGAACATCGCTACTCAAAACTCAAACTTATTTTACTGCACAATAATTTGAATTTGTAATGTTCAACTTGCTATCGCTTTTAAAATATTTTGTATTGCTAATAAGTTGTATATTAACGCAACTAAAACGTATTTAAAACACTGTAAATAATAAAAATAAAAGTGCATGATATCAGTTTCAAGGTGTTGTCATTTTTTGGCGCTCAAATAAAGACTTCAGAGGATATCGAATTAAAGTTTACGCGTTATTTTCAACTTATACAATCAATTATTTTCAAGTGATAAAGTGGATAAAACTTATCTGGGAGGAAGTATGGAATCGAAATCAATATCACTAATTTTATTGAACATACTATGTCTGCCAATTTTCAAATACTCTCCTTCGCCATTGGACCAGTTTCTGTCCATTCATTCTATGTATGCCAAGTAAACTTTCAAATTTTCGAGTCTGGAAATTTCTAAACTTGAAATTTCGTAGTTTCAAAATTTAAGAATTAAAGAGTTTTTAATTAAAACATTTAGAAATATACAAATTTCATATTCAGGAATCGACGACTTTCTTGAACTCCTTCCTTTACGGATATGATTTGTCCCTATATTCCCTATAAGTAATGTGTGATGAACCTTGAAAAATATTCCCGGAAGGAACATATAAAAAAATCACTGAATATGATGAACCAATCTTGAATTTTGCAATATTTTATAAAAAACTTATTGCAAATGTTCTATTATATCATGTTTATTTCTACTGCCAATTTATTTTTTTTGAAAGAGGTAAACAAGAGTTAGTCCGCGCCATCTATCCATTGCATTATATCAAAAATATATACAGTTGGCAATCATTAGTACTAAAATGGTGTTACAGTTGGAAACATCATGATACGCATTTAATTGCAAGTTGATTAACAACAAATTCACGGAGTACAGTTTGTTAAAATAAATGTGACCTCCTGCTAATTTACAGAATGCAGATGGTGCATTTATTTTGGAGTTTTTTCTATATTTTGTTTATTTGTCAAGGTAAATTGATTAACTGTTTCAATGTAATGTGACATTTCTTCCATTTTGCAGTTGATTTTATTGTTATCTTAATTCATACTTATATGTGTACAATATATATGCATATTATTATTATTCATTTTTTTGTATTCCAGTTAATGCTGAATATACTGTCACATTGTCTCATGATGGTCCTGTAGTATTAGGTGGAACCATCACTTTTAAAGCTGATTTGTTTGAAGATGGAGAAAGACCGTCAGGAACTTTTAAGTATGCATGGAAAGATAATGCATTAACTCCTCATGAATATGAGGTTTGTTTCTTTTTATTTCTAAGCTCATTAACATTATACTTAACATTAAACATTATCATTATTGCAAAATAATGAAACTTTGCTTAAATAAGTAATGTGCAATTACTTATTTGTTTCCTTAGTTACTAATGATCAAAAACAATTGTGCGACTTCACCTTACATAGCATCATGTATGACACACCTGCAAAATACAAATATATTAATTTGTTTTGTGCAGTCTTGTAAATTATATTTAACTATATGTACTCATCTGGTATTTTTAGCATTTATATGTATCCATGTTATTTACATTTGTCAGCAAATGTTTCCTTAATATATATGTTTCATTTTATCTTCCAATGTATGACAAATTCTACTATCTACATTTCATACTTATTCAAAATATTCAAAACAATTATAGTTTCACTTGGTATTGAGTATGATATATAAGCTGATATATAATATATGATATATATTTCATATATAAGCAATTTTACTATAATTTGTTCTATTTTGAGGATCTCTTCAAGTATTTATTATTATAGAAACATATTTGCATTTATTTCCCTATTTTATTAAATATATTGTTTACTTCTCAAAATCAATATCTTGTCAAATTTAAATATAAGTTTTTAAATATTTATTTTTTACTTCTACAGACAGAAACATCAAATACAACAACATATTGGAGTTTAAATATTTCACCAGAAAATTATACTGTTGGCACATATGCAGTCGAAGTAGTTGTTGAGAAATATTTTGTAATTATTTGGAGACAGCTCACCAGTGTTCGAACAATATTTCATGTAACTGGTAAGTTAAAATATTTGTTATATACTAATTATATACTACCTTAATGAAATGTATTTTCTTTAGAGTTTCTTAATGGTGATATTGGAATTATCCAATCTAATAAAACGGTAGCGGATACATATGTTTCTTCTATATCTGAAACAAACATGACGATAAATATACGTAAAGGAGATCTAGATTACTTGATGAATGCCACATCAGTATCCATTTACTGGTTTATAGACTGCAAATATTACGGGCAAACGAGCGATTTCTATTTTCTTTACAATTTTACAATTCCTGATAGATCACATATTGTGGAAGCTTTAGTACTTGCATCATATGACCCAATAACAACAACTACTGTATCTCCGACAACTGTTCCAGTATCAACTGTTTCACCTAATGCAACTGTGCCAAATACTACAGTATCAAATATAACAGTATCAAATATTGCAGTATCAAATATTACTACCACAGAGTTGGTAACTACTGTCACACCTAATAATTATGCAACTTCTAATATTATAAATGTGACATCTCCGATACCGTTTATTGATACATCAAATACCAGCATGGCTACTGTGAATAATATTTCTTTACCTTATATTTGTTCAAATTCTTCGATGATCCTTCCAGATCCTAATAAAACATATGGCCATTTTATTAAAAAAATTGATATTCGTGGTGAGTGCTAAATTATATAGTTCTTATTAACTTTGACCTATTAATTATAATTATATATTTTTCTTTTAATTAAAATTGTAGCACCTATAATGAACATAACAGTGGAAGGTACAAATTGGATTCAGCCATGGGATATGTTATCTCTTAATGTAACGTGCAAAGGTTCTGGACCTTTCCAAAAGTGCCTTTATTTTCATAGAGGAAAGTATAATGTTACTGGAAATGAAACGTGTGACAATGGAACTCCCCTTTATTCTTGTAATTTTTCCATCATTCATTATTTTTTGGAACCTAGTGTATACACCATATTAATTATACTGGATAACGATGTCAGCAAACAAATCTATCCATTGACAATAAATATTTACAAAGGTGCATATTGTACATTTTAATAATACTAATAACTTTTATTTCGGATAAAACTTAAATCATCTCTGTCTATTATATTTTCAGTCACAACAAAGCCACAACTATCAGTGATTGTTGTACCTGTTTCTTGTTCACTTGCTGCTGTAGTACTCATTATTTTTGGTATTGCATATTATATACAAAGCAGAGCAAGATTTACCGTGGAAGTTGCAGACTTTGATTTTGGCCAAAATAATCCAGAGCTAGAATATAAAACATTTAGAGAACGATTACGAGATTCATTCAATAATGCCATAACACCAGGAAGCAAACGGATAAGTGTATGCCAGCCCTATTATGGCAGCATGAATCACTAACAAGTACAGATTGTACAAACTACCTAGTCTGTGATTAACATTTGTGCTACTAATCACATATTGCAAAAAATGACTAACTGTTTGTTATTTTTATTTGTAACATCCATGTATCATATTTTAGCTTCATCGTTGTGCACTCATCTTTAACTGATTTTGCACCTAAAATTTAGTAATCTGTGTATGTTGTAGTTAGTTGTTTTGTTAGTAGTGTGCTACATGTTTTATATTGATATTTTATTTTTAAAATTAGTATTTAGTGAATGCAACTAATAGAGATTTAATGAATTTCAGGGTTATAAGCCTCTTAGTAATTCTCAAACTATTCAATGACGTTTAAGACGGGAAAAAGAATAATTGAATCATCCAAAGTCATTCTATGAATCACAAGAAATCGAAAAGATAACAAGTGAGAGAACTAAGTAAAGTTTATTATAAGAAAGATTTTAGAATTGTATTTTACAATATATTTTTAAGCACCAATTAATTTAATCCTAATCGAAAGCTAATATTCTAGCTATATAAATTAATTCATTCCAAACGGTTCATGATTAAGATTAAGATTGTATATAGAACAAATAAAGTTTGTATACATAGGCTGTGAATATAGTATGCAACGGAATATTGCTTGTGAGGTTTTGTAGAGGTAACATTTTAATATCAGTCTTTTGAATTTTAATTTTTTTTAAAAACTAAAACGCATGTTTTACATTTTTAGTTTGATTTTCAGCTTCTTATGTTTAATCTTTCATTAGGTGATTTTTAAATTACTTAACTTCTCTGTTATAAGAAAAGTGTTAATTAGCACGCAACGTGTATACATCAGTATACATTGTAAGTATAGATTACTAGTATTAAAAATTAAGTGGATAAACGAAAATGTATAAACATATTTGGACAAAATATGTATAAAACCATTCTTCTATATGTATATGCATTTGTATGCACTTAAATGTATGCATATATATGTACAGTGTGCAAGGTATGTCATCTACCTTGATCACTTTAATGGGTTTCTGACATTTATAGAACTATCAAGAAAACTTTATTCACATAAGTTACATACATGTTATCAAACTGGGCTTTGGTACCATAATATGTAAAAAATTTTCTCAAAAGTTGATTGAAAACTAAATGTTGGGAGATCCAAGTTGATTTTGAAGACAATATGATTTCTGCAAACAAATTTTCTGCATATTTCTACAAATAAGAAAGATAATTAAGGTGGTCAAGTTAGATAACCCACTTCATATAAAATTAAATTTGATTAAGTTTTTTTTAATATTTAAAACAACGTATTTAACTAAACTAAGTAGCTGAAACGACAAAATTGAATGATAATTTCGAAAACTTAATCATAAAGTAATGAACTGTGCAGTATTTAAAAAATAAAATGTTCTTGTAAAACTTGTAAAGAATGTTATTTACCATTATTCAATTCCTTTCTGAAATATCAATGGATAAAAGTAAAAATTACAAAATCGCGCGGTTTCATATGTGGCACCATCTGCATATAGTTATTGTAACTGAAGACTGTACGCATTCGCCAGAGTTTGGTAACGTCGTTAGAAATGTAAGATGGCAGCCATCGAAATAAATTTACAAAATTGTGCCCTGTTGAAACACGTTTGTGCGTTTGCAGTTTATTGAATATTGTCAGTTCGTAGTTTCAATTTACACTTGTTCAACGTACGTTCAGAACTACTAATAACGGAAGCATATCTGTTGTACAAGTATAATAGAAACTTTATTCGAGTCACGGGCGTACCATGTCAGTAATTGCCTCAAAACCATGCCACGAGGAAGAAAATTCGAAATTGACGGAGGAGGATGATTGGAAAATGCAGATGGCATTTTGTAAACTACGACACACATCATCAATCGAAGGTGTAAATTGTATTACGCAGACATGGAGAATGAAAGAAAGGGTTTGTTGTTGTTTTTTTTTTGTTACTTAATTAATTAATTTTTTTAAATTCATGTATTTACTATTATACGATAATTTTTTTAAATCTACATTTTTTTTGTTAGATGAAAACCGTGAGTGTGGCTCTGGTTTTATGTTTAAACGTTGGCGTGGACCCACCTGACATTGTCAAGACGCAACCATGTGCACGTCTCGAATGTTGGATCGGTATTTATTCTTGTTTATTTATACTTTCATAATTTTTCATTGCAATTATCATTATATAATCGATTTTTAGGTTATGTGCATAACAATAATTTCTAAGTAAATATACTTACAGGTAGCTACTAGGTGGCGCTTTATTTATTATTAAATTAAATATGCACTCGTATTTTGTTTATTATTAGTTACATTAGCCAAAACTTTGGAATGCACTATGTGAATTAGGATGTTTTTGAGAATGAAATGAATAAGAATATTAACCTATTAATACCTACTTCTTCAGTTAGTTTACTTTATTTTGATATTTAAATCTATGTATACCTTTTCTATCAGTAAGATATATACTCTTTTCTATATAATATAAGAGGATTTGCATTTTATAATTTATTATAGAATATAGTTTTTAATTATTATAATTCATTATATAATATACCTTTTTACAAAAGATCAGCTGGATATCTATCTCAGTAATAAAATTGTTATATTCTCTTGTATAATTTTTAATTACTTAATGATTTTGCCTATGTATTGTATTTACACTGTTTTAAATCTTTAATATAACTTGATAATCCTCCACTATTGGTATATGCCTATATGAGAAGACTATGAATCATTGATACAGTTGCTCTAATTGATAGAAGAATCTTGCTTATTTTACAGATCCTTTATCAGTAAGTCCACAGAAGGCTTTAGAAACTATAGGTTCTAATTTACAAAAGCAGTACGAGCGATGGCAACCACGAGCTCGTTATAAACAGAGTTTAGATCCTACTGTGGAGGAAGTTAAAAAGTTATGTACTTCTTTAAGGCGAAATGCAAAAGAGGAAAGAGTTCTGTTTCATTATAATGGTCATGGTGTTCCTAAGCCCACCAGTAATGGTGAAATATGGGTATTTAATAGGGTTAGTTCTGAATATTCTGATTACTGTAAGTAGTAATTTGATAAATATTTCTGTTTAATTTCAAATTATTGTTACAGACTTATACACAATATATTCCTTTGTCTGTATATGATTTGCAGACGTGGATGGGTGCACCTAGCATCTATGTATATGATTGTTCAAATGCAGGTATTATTGTGGAGTCTTTTCAACAATTTGCAGAACAACATGAAAAAGAATATGAGGTACCAAAATTATAGTATAGGTGAAAAGTATAAGTTACATATAAGCACATTGGAAATGTCACTTCACAGATGGAAAAACAGGCAGTTCAGCAGAATCGTGCCACTGGAGTTGTAGGTGCAACAGCACCATCTTATAAAAATTGTATTCAATTGGCAGCATGTGCAGCTAATCAGATTTTGCCTATGAATCCAGATTTACCAGCGGACATATTTACATCATGTCTTACAACTCCAATTAAAATTGCGTTACGATGGTAAGAAAAACAATTAAATTTTTTACAAACAAATTATCTGTGTATTATAATTTGGTCTGTCTTTATTTTTAGGTTTGTAATGCAAAATACATCCAAATTGGTACCAAAAATATCATTAGATTTGATTGACAAGTAAGAATATTTAAGATATATACAGGATGAATCATGAAAAGCAAGCTGCTTAAATATCATTGTTAAATTTAAAATTGGAAAAGTTGCTGCATTGTTCAATAGATCAAATATAATAATTAGATTATAAATTTAAACTCATCTTTAAATCTAACAAAGATATTTAAGTGCATTATTTCTTACGAGTTATCTTCTATTTATAATAAATCTTTAATTAATACTTTTTTTGACAAAGCAAATAAACTATTGGAGTTGTGGTAAATAAATTTCAGAATTCCAGGACAGCTGACTGATAGGAGAACAATGCTGGGTGAACTTAATTGGATATTTACAGCAATTACTGACACAATCGCATGGAACACTTTACCAAGAGGTATACTTCCACATTTCATAGCATAAAACAAATTATATGTAATAAACGTGTTTAATTTACAGATTTATTCCAAAGATTATTTAGACAAGATTTATTAGTTGCTAGTTTGTTTCGAAATTTTTTACTTGCTGAACGGATACTTCGATCATATGACTGTACTCCAGTTTCTTGTCCAAAACTACCACCTACTTATCAGGTGAATATTTTTTATTATTACATTTATTATTGATTCATCATTGATATATTAATTTGTTACATTGATTTAGCACCCTATGTGGCAAGCATGGGATTTGGCACTTGATCTTTGCTTAGCACAGTTGCCATCTATTCTTGAAAATGAAGATCAATTTGTACATTCGCCATTTTTTGAAGAGCAACTTACAGCCTTTCAAGTATGGCTGACCTTAGGTTCTAAAAATCGTAACCCTCCAGAACAGCTGCCAATAGTACTTCAAGTGTTGCTTAGTCAAGTTCATAGATTAAGAGCATTAGAATTATTAGGATGTTTTCTTGATCTTGGTCCATGGGCAGTGAACTTGGCTCTTAGCGTAGGCATTTTCCCGTATGTCCTAAAATTACTTCAAAGTAATGCTAGAGAATTGCGCCCATTGCTCGTTTTTATTTGGGCAAAAATTCTTGCAGTTGACAGTGTGAGTTGTAACGTTTAACATTCAAAGATATTTGATTTATGTATACAATATTTTAATTATTCATAGTGTTTTATGTATTTCAGACATGCCAAGCAGATCTTGTACGAGATGGCGGGCACAAATATTTTTTATCCGTTCTTCAGGATACTTCGATACCGGTAATACAATTAGATACGTCATTGATTAAAGAGCTTAACATTTCGTTCTTTGAATGTGATTTTATTTTATTATTTTGGTGTCATTTTTATTACTTGCAGAGTGAACAAAGGACGTTAGCAGCATTCGTTTTGGCCAGTATTGTAAATGATTATCGACCAGGTCAAATAGCAGCTAACCATGGTAGCCTTGTTTCAATTTGCTTAGAACAACTTGGAGATTCAAACGCTTTATTAAGACAGTGGCTATGTTTATGTCTTGCGAGACTTTGGCACAATTATGATAAAGCAAGGTGGTGTGGAGTTAGAGATATTGCTCATGAAAAGTTATTTACATTATTACAAGATCCAGTTCCTGAGGTACAAACCAATTTTTTTTATTTACCGATATTAATAACAATAAATAATAGTGCATTTAAGAAAGTATCAAATTGCGTAGGTCCGAGCAGCTAGTGTTTATGCTTTGGGCACATTTATAAACAGTGTGACAACTCGAAGCGAACATGCAAATAATATTGATCAAATTATTGCTATGACACTTATTAATACTGTTTCGCATGACATGTGCCCTTTAGTTAGAAAAGTATGTAAGTTAATTATGATGTATAATGATATACAGTGAAACTTACACGTTCTCTTTATTCTAACGCAAACAATATATGATTTATTTTACAGGAATTAGTAGTAGCACTTCAATGGATGGTTTTGCATTTTGAAAATTCGTTTGTCACTTTAGCTTTGGCCGAAGAAAATAGCCGAAAAGATCTCGTAGTGGAAACGTTATCACCATTTAGTGGAATGAGGCGTATTAGTTCTAGAGACAGATTAAAGATGCTTTCTCCTAACAACACCTATAGTGTGGACAGTACAGATGGGTTCACTCAAGATCGTATCAAAAGAGTGTCATCGTCGTCCTCCATTAGTAGTTTAGGTAAGTGATAAAATATGTTGCATCCAGTTAGCGTTACTAGCTCCGTTGTCGGATGTTTGGATAACAGCTCCTTGTATTGTTTCATTCGTGTACCAGGAAATAATTGGGAGTTCGTGAGGAAACCTTGCGAGTCACTTGGTAATAATGATTGGAAATTCCATTGCATGTTCGTACATAGTTCATCCTTAATTTTTGTATAAAGCTAAATATATCACTGATATCACTGTTTCTGTTGCCTACAAGCACCTTATCGTCACAAGTCATCTTTTCCGTTAAATACAAAATGTAAATAAATGTGGTTCATTATTTTTAGGGCACAGCTCTCTTGGAAATCTACCAAGCCTTTCTTATGGTAGCATATACATGAAATTATGGCATGGATTATGTAATCTTGACAATGATCCTCATCCCGCGGTTGCCACAATGTCACAAAAGGTCACTAATCATATTCGAAATCAGGTAAATATAATTTGTTAATAATATTTAAATACTCATACGTTCTTTTTATCGTGTTCTATTGAAGATTTCGTTTCTATGGTATAGATAATATTTTTTATCGTAGGTTAAAGAATCATCTGCGCCCAAAGAAGTAATTGAAACAAAAATATCTTCATCATTATCTCTTCCACCTTCACCTTCAAATCGCACTACATACTTAAGGTTAGTTATTATTTGAATATTTTTGTGTATAACGTTTCTAATGATTTATATCTGTACATTGAAGCAATAGCAAAGGAGAATCTCCGCCGACAGTAAATTCTGGGTCAGATTTATTGCGTTCCTCAAGAATACCATCGCATAACAATCGTTCAAGAAAGCCAATTCCTAATACTGTAAGAATAGTTATTTTGAAATAGCCATTTAAAAGCACTAAAAGATTTTCGTTTTCTACTTGAACATTGCTGCATTACAGATATCGGAAGAAGCTGACGAAGTTGCTGGTATTAAAACACCATTGATAACTTCGCAATTTGTTGAATGGAGTTGTGCTCAATTTGCTCAACCTTCTGTTAGTTTAGAAAATGAGATAGAATCAATGAGTGATATGGAAAGTAGAGCCCATTATGAAAGAGAATGGCGGTAAGAATTATGTGATAAATTATTTTACATCAAAATTTTATATTAATTCTTTGAAGAAAACGTAAAACTTTGGATATTCAGGTATTTAAGAAATAAAAAACAAAGACGAGAAACAAGAGAAGAACAATTACGATCAGTACAAAGTAAAGTGGAGTCGCAAGTGTTTCATGCAAGATGTCCACACTCTCCAGAAGTTTTAATGTTTCATCCTTTTGAACCTCATCTGGTTGTGGCATTAAAAGATTGTTTTGGGTATTTCATCTTGAACATATATTATATATGTGATATAATATTGTAATAAAACAACAATTAAAATTATTATTTACTTACAGTGTATGGGATTGTCAGACTGGTGCAAAATTGACTTACTGTGCAAGCCGCGGTAATAAAATGTCGCGTATCACAGCTTTGGAATTTATCAATGCTCACGATGTATCTTTATTGATGACGGGATCTGATGATGGTTCTGTTAGAGTTTGGAAGAATTATAGTAGTATGTTGAATCGTGATCCAGTTTTACTTACCGCTTGGCAAGCATTGGCTGATATACAGCCAACAACGAAAACCACGACTGGTGAGTGTTTTGATTAAACAAGAAATTACGTTGCTCACAGCGCATTTATGCAATATAACTCCCTACAATATAGAGGTTTAGGAATCGGGAGATACACAATTAACTAAATGACATTATCAGTTATTACATAAGTCCCCTTTCATTT